CAGCCTCTCGGAGATTTAGGATCCAAGGTCGGCAAACTGAAACTTTGAAGAGGACCGGCCCTCGCCCTGCCATTCTTGTGACTTGTGACAGAAGAGGGGACTATTTATTCTACTCCATCGCATCTTCTTACAATTTCTCACTATTTCAATTTAATATTCTTCGCTTCGTCTTCGCTATTTGGATTTTGGAATCGTGATTCACTCCCCATCTTATTAAACTCCCAATTTTTCTAAGCCCAAATTATTTTACTTTTAATTAATAGATTCGAATTCAAGATCTAACAACGCAATTATATTAAGTATTTTAAAAAATTACCTATTAAATAACTTTAAATCTTAATTAGTTAATCATATTTGATTATATATCAATATATTCTATAATTACTCTTCACACCTCTCAAACAAACACTCATTACACTCTAGATGTCCTATATTATTTTTAACCTCCATGATTTGTTTTAAGTATATTATATAATATAATCCATAAACATTTGTTTCAAGTATATAAAAGCTTCATTTGACTAAGAAACTATTTATTATATATTTTATTATTATATAATAATTTATTATATTTTATTTTCAATTATTTAATGGAATGTTTTAACAATATTATATAAAAATTAAGAAAATGTTTACTCAAAATTTTTTAGATAAATTTTTCATATGTAATTTTCTTAAATTTTTGTTTTAAGAAAATCAATGAAGATATAGCTTTATTGTTGTTTACATTTTTCTTAACATTTCATATTTTTCAAATTTTTAAAAATTTCAAGTTTATATTTTTTTTTAAGTAAATAGCAACGAAAGCGTAATATTTTATAAAGATACTTACTTTATTACATATTAATTTTAAATAAAAGTATACAATAATAAAATTCATTGAAGTATTCTGCTTTTTATATTTTCCTGATATTTTTAATTTTGGTCTTATTTTATAAATGTTAATAAATACATTTGAATAATTATTTTATTTTTGAACATTATTTATTTTATTTTATTTTTATGATTCATTATTAATAATATTAGAATGCACTAATAGTATAATTTTTATATTATTATTTAATCATAATTGTCGTGTATAACAAACTTGTTAATTTTTAATAATCACTTTAAAAGTCATAAAATAAATTTTAATTGGTTAACAAAATAGAAATATTTTCAAAGTACATGAAGGCAATCTTGAAGGCATGCTCCTCTACCTCTTGTCATATGTCCAAATTAGATTATCTCCTCTCCCCATGCTTCTTTCGAAGAAAAACCAAAAGTCAAAGAACAGAAAGAATGAAAAGAGGATGAACAGATGATAAATAAATAATAATAAAAAGAGAGAGAGAGAGATTGAAAAAAGAGGAGATGGAAATAAGTTGAAGAGGTCAGAGTTCCGTGTGTCATATGTGATATGCTCGTAATAAAGACGACGAAATATTGTGAAGCAGTGACTTTTGAGCTATTCGAATTTTGACCTCAAACTGGCAACGAAACATATGGCATATACATAAAATACATATCATGAGTTAATGGTTAGATATATTTGTTGCGATTTGCTAAGGATTTGTCAGTCAATCCATTCCCTAATGTTGTAGATTTTGGGCAGATGATATGTTCATAAAAATTATATATAAATAAATTGTTAAAATTAAGAAAAGATGATAGAAGAGGACATGTTGATGAAGAAATGAAATAATTATTGAGAAACCAAGAGACATATCTTTTCTTGCATCTATGCCTCCAAAGCAGTGGGACACACAATATTTCCATCGGAGTAAAGATGTGCAATCATATTCTCTATTAACTGTCCAGATTTAGAAAATTATTGTCCTTAATCATCGGTAAAGTTTATTACATATGATTCTTTTATTAAAAAGATTAAAAAATGGCCCTTGACGTGGTTTACCTTCTGGCATCAACATATTCTTCATTAAATATATTTGAGGGTGTCCAAGTTAGTCTTACGGTTTGATGAAAAGGACAATTTTGGTTTGAAAGAATTGGCACGCTTTGGTCCCAAAATCAAGTGGTGTTCACACAACCACCATGTTGCATTTGCTTTTGGCAGTGGCTTTAAGAGGAATAGATCCAAAATCAAAACTAATGGGGAAGCATTACAAACACGATGCCCATGCTTAGCATTACAGAATCATTTTGTTGACGTAAGCAAGTTTGGCGAAAAAATCTAGTGCGTGTCTTAGCGTCAACAATAATAGTTTATTTTCAAGTGCTTGACATCCACTATAAAGGCATAGGGTAAGCAAACAATGATTTGACATCCCAAATTGATAAATTTTGTTGACCATTTAAATCCTAGTTCTTCCACTTTACGAGGATTGCGTAGTTTGTCTAACAAGCAAAGTCAATCAAAGCTGTAAAACGACCACAAAAAGAAAAAGGGAAATATGTTAATACTTAGTTGTATAGCACCATATTTTTTTCAATTTGCAAGATTTTTATTCGATGATAAAGAAAAAGGAATGTAGAAAAAGGAAGCAAGTCATCTAGATTCGGAAGGAATCAACAGCTCTCATGTTGCAACTGTCAACTTGTCTTGTGACACAGTCAATAGTCAGTGAAGTAGTTTCTCCGTAACGCATAGGGTTGGTATTTACTTCACTGGATAAGGAAACATGGGCAGAACGAGGAACTTTCAGTGTCGACCTTAAACAATAAACTAGCAATTTTTTTTTATACCAATTACACCTATTTAATTAAAACTTGTTGTTGCCTTGTTATAGAACTAAGCACGCTATTACCAAAGGTTTCCAGCAAATATTGGCAAACCAAAATTTACATCTTTTTTCAAAACATTCTGGTGATGTCTGAACAAAATGTAATGAGTTATACCACACTAATTTTAGTTTGGAAGCAGCACTAGAACACCATTCAATGTAAAAAGAAGAATGAATTAATGCCTTAAGTAACACAACAACTAGATGAACCAGAGAGATATCTGAAGAACGACAAATATGTGAAGTAGTTCCTAAAGAAATCACTCTCTTCCATTCTTGAAGATTTCTAAATGTGATGACACTCAAGTGGTTCAATTTCAAGCCGAAACTGACTCAGTAGCAGCTGCGGCGCGCTTCTTGGCAAAGTATTCTTCAGCACGGGCAAGGTTTTTAGACACTGATGGCTTAACCCATTTCTTGCGGCCAGGAAGCACAGTGAGGGAACAACCAACATTCTCAAGTTTCTCCTTCGCTGACGTGGAAAAAGCACGGGCTTTTAGTGTCAACTTCTTGCTCAGTTCTCCTTCACCCAAAATCTGAAACCAAAAAGGCACAATATCCATCAAGACCGAAATTGTAGGGTTTTAAATGTTCAATGCACTGGATGGATAGATAGAATTAGAAGGCTAGCTTAAACATAATATACTGACAAGTTTCCCAGCATGGCTGGGAAACCAGAAATGCATTCGTAAAGAATGAATACAGTAAAATTTAACCAACAGATGCATAATGCTCCAAGTAGCGGTCATTGGCCAGTGCTAGCTAAAATTTCAAGTTTCAACCCCTTAATATCCTTACAGATATTAAGTACTATGATCATTTCAAGCAGCATCCTTCATTTTGAAAAGCTTATTGAAATCAATGTCAATGTAGAGTGCAGTTTATCTACCCAATTAACTTCTATTTTTGGTCGAAAATGATCATTTAAAGACTCTACTGCACACTTACTGTCCTACAAAAATGCAATTACATCTCATTGCTTCTCCAACAAAGATGATTTTCAACAGAAAAAGAAATCTAGCGTTTGGCCTCTGGAATAAAGATATGGAAAAAGGCCAGCACCTTTTGTTGCATGGAAAACAAAGGAACATCATAAATATATGGAAAAAGGAAATAAATAACTTCTAATACTTGCCTCCTGAACTGTAGGCTGCAAGGTGGTTATTGCTTGAAAAATCATCATAAGGTAGTACGTTTTAAAGGGAAGTACTGACAATAAAAAATAAAACCACTAACCATAAACTAATTTATCCCTGATGGATAAAAGAATTAGAAGATCGACAATCCAAATACAGTCTTTAAATTGAGAAAATTAAATGCTAAAATATATGTATACATGATTTGTGGTGTTCATAATACAAATGAGAAGGATTTACATATTTATGGCTTCAAATCACTGAGACCTAAATATTATATGCTTGATATTACATACATATCACACATGCCCAAAAGTGCAGATAAACTTGAGCACCAGACCAAGATGAAAGAACCTCAAAGAATTTACAGGAAGTAACTTTATTCACAGAAGACCAGGGGATTCTGAAAAATGGTCCCTTTTGGTAGTTAGCCCTACTGCTAGGAAAATCTAGCATCCTCATTTGTGGTTAATAGTCAATCATCATTCATAATTCATTAATACCTTAATTATCGGGAAATCGATCTTGGAGAAGCAAGGTCGAACACAACACGCAATTGCTAAGGATGAAATTTAGACATCATTAAATCAACAAAGTAATATGTACCTTCAAAGGAAGTCTCCTTTCTCTTCCAGATGGGTTAATCACACCTTTCTGCTTCAGTGTCTCTAGAGACACCTCGTCCCCTTCTTGAAATTTAGCATCCTCTATGTCTCTCAGATTTACATGGACATATTTGGGCAATCCCGCATGCATACCTTGTGAAAATAAAAGGAAGAAAAAGGAACATAAAAAAATAGTTCCAATAGAGACAACTGCACTAGCCTGAACTAAACAAATTAAGAGAGAACATATAGAGAAGAATAGAAGAGAAGCATTTCACAAAATACTAACTTTCGAAACAAAATTATGGAAGGAAATAGGAGAAGAAAGAAATATACAATAGTATCATAGATAAAGGGGAACATAATTAGTAAAGATGTTTGAAATAAGAACGTCCAAGGAAAAGAAATTTGGGTGTTGGAGCTTGATGATGATCTAATTGGATTAATTTCTTCAAAAACACTTTTAGAAAGAAAAAATAAAATAAATTCTTTCATCAGTTAAACCTATCTTATACATAAGTTAAAAATAAGTTTTTCAAAAACCGAATATGAGAGAACTTCTACATAAATTCTATTTAGATAAATTTCTTTAGAAACCCTAAAAATAAGGGGAAAATCAAAAAGGCTTCTACATAAGCTAAATTTAGCTTATGCAAGTTAATTTGTATAAGTTCTTTTCTATTAGCTTCTCCAAAATCTTATTTTCAACTTATGCATGAGTTAGTTTTAGTTATGGAGGAATTTATTTCAAGTTTTCTTCATTTTTTTCTTCCTAAAAGTGTTTGTAGAGAAGTTTATCCAAATAGACTAAAACTATTTTAACTTATGGAAAAACTTATTTAACTTTTTTTTTTTTATTATATATTTTTCTCCAATAAGTTTTTCCTTACAGGGCAAGGAGATCTCTAGTATAGCATTACACTTTGTGTCAGTTTAGATAAATTTCTCTAGAAATACTTCTAAACAAAAAAATTTAAAAAAAAAATGACATAAACTTTTCTATATTCTAAAATTGGTTTATACAAAAGCTAATTTGTAAAAGTTATCTCCCATTTAGTTTCTCTAAAATCTTAAAAAAAAAATGCTTCCGGTTAAGTTCATCTTAAGAGACACTCTAACAAGAAAGAGGCAAAGTGAGTCTTCTGTTCTGTCTAGAGTTGAATGAATTACTATGGCAGTAAGTATTAGAGTCGAACATAGTAAAGTAGAAGTAAGTTACAATTGAGTGACAATTTTCGTTTTGGTAATAATGATAGGATAGGACATTAAAAGGAGAGTATTGTGAATGAATTGATGCATTACCTCCTGCAATTCCTCTGAGTTTGGGGATTCGTCGATAGAGTGGCATCTGGCCACCTTCGAAACCCTTCATAACGCCAGGCCCAGATCGAGATTTCTGACCCCTCATCCCAAAACCACAACTTGCCCCTTGCCCTGCCGATATTCCTCTACCCTTTCTCTTAGCCTTCTTTCTCGAACCCGGTTGGGGGCCCAAATTGTCCAGCCGAAACCGAACGCCCACACTGGCTGCTGCCACGGGGGCAGAGGCAACCTTATTGACCACCAAAACCAGGGGTCTTGCTCGCTGAATCTTCAGACATGGTTTTGCCTCCAAGGTTTTCACTGTTCCCTGCAACGTCCAAATTCATGAAAACAGATAGAGACTAAGAAGAATTAGAAATAAAAGAGGAAAAAAAAAAAAAAACCTTGAAAGGAGAAGAGAGGCGCGGGAACCAGGAAGAGGAAGAGGAAACGGGAATGAGAGGAGCAGTGGCCATTTCTGATACACTCAGGCGGATGCCATGATAACCCCACGAACTAACTTCAAATAACGGATAGGATAAGTTTTTCATTTTTTTTTTTTGAGCTTTTCTATTATTATTAAATCTCAATATAAAATATATTTTACGCTTATAAATAATTACCTATATAATAACCTTATTTACAATAATAATTATTTATTATCTACGACAATATATAAAGGATACATCTTTCTTTGTGTCTAGTTTTTGAAAAGTAATTATATTTTTATATTATATTCTTTATATATATATATATTATGATAACGTAATAATCGATATCTCTTTGCTTTGTTTTTATTTTTAACTTTTTTCTCCTCCTTTTCCTTGTAAAAAAAAATAGAATACTTATATTATTTTATTCAACTTTAAAATTTTCGTACATTTTATTATTCTATTAATTAACTATTTAAAATTGTCAGTCGGCTCTTGATAACTAACTAATTGAAATGATAATGCACGAAAATTTGATAATTAATGTTAGGTTACATTTTGTTTTTAATCTATGCTTGTTATATGTATTTATGAATTGTAACTACTTTAATTATTTGTAGTCCAACCACAATTCTTATATCTTGGATTGTGATGCATTATTAGGATCGATCCAACAATGATGGAGATTTAAAGTGAAATTTGATAGAGATTTTTAAATTTATAATAAAATAATTATACAGTAGAAACTCTTTAAATTAATACTTAATAAATTAATAAATTCTCTAAAATAATAAATTTGTCCGGTCCCGATTTGGGTCAATATAAAAAATTGAAAAATTCAATAAAATAATAAGATAATAATTTTTCGGGATATCCTTTTATAATTTTCGGTCCCAAGAAAATCATAAATTAAAAATTCATAGAAATTGAAAAAAATATATTACACTCTAACACATTCATGTAATTTATATATGCCAAACTTGCTTAAGAATACATTGAACATATTTGTTCCTCTTGTTTACATTTAATGTACTTCAAAAGTCATTATTGATTTCTAATGCATATGTACTTCAAAAGTCATTACGTATTGATTTTCAATGCATATGTACTTCAAAAGTTACTAATTTACGTTGAGTCTCAAGGTTCGCTGCAACGTAATTCTAATAAACATAGACTAATTTACCTTTTTATTTGGTATGTATAGTATAATTACTTAAAAACTCTTTAAATTAATAATTATTAATTTATTGATAAATTAATAACTCTCTAAATTAATAAATTTTTCCAGTCCTGATATTATTAATTTAAAGAGTTTCTACTTAATGTTGAAGTTTTTTATTAATATATGTGATTTTTTTTCTTTATCAAATTTAATAATAAATAACTTTTACTTGAGGAATTTAAAAACTTGAATTTTTGTAGCATACCTTTGGGTGCATCATGGTTTCGTATGACTCCATATTCATTTACCACATATTACTCCATGTCCACCCACAATCTAACTATCACAACAAAAGTGATGCACCGTTAACTAATTTTACCATGCACCATATTAAGTGCCTCCTATGATTTACCTATACTTGTATACAAAGCATAATTAAAATGACCTGTGTTCTCCTTTGTAAAATTATGGTTAGGATTTATTTAAGAATGTATTCAATAAAAAAAAATCGGAATGTAAATGGATACAAGCACCTTAACATTTTTTTATATATATATATAAATAGAGACCCAAGTCCCAACACGAATTAAATTAAAACTCACAAGGAAAGCAAGTTAAAGATACATCTAATAGAACCTCTAAAAATTAAATAAATAAATAAGGAACACAATCAAAGATAACAAGATTAAAAATGTCCAAATCAAATTTAACCAATTTATCAATCATTTGATTTATCTCGTTAATATTGGGCGATAGTATAAGAGTTAAAAAAACTGTTGTGAAGTGTGCATTTTATTTAGGGCAAAACCGTTTTGGATAAATAATATTTTTTATTTAAATTAATAAAATAAAATTACTTCCCATACTAAAAGAATGATACTGTGAAATTACCATAATAAAAAAAAGCTTAAAAAAGTCTTTAAAATGTGAACGATAAAAAATAATATCACCTTTATTTATTATTATATAGAATGGGTTCATACTATCGGTCTAAAAATTATCATTTATTATAATTTTTATCGTTCACATTTACCCTTTCTGAAGTAGTTAGAGATATTCATGAACGCATTTTTGTCATCTTGCAGTTAGATCTTCTTCAACTCCAAGAAAATGGAAGTAATCAACTAATTAATATTAGGCTACCGTAAAACAAGGGCATTCGGTATTCCTCAGTCCTCACCCTACCATCCGTCCATCCGTCTATAGCCATTGATCCAACTCTTGTAATATTCATTGAACTTCTGCCTTCTCAATTTCTCTCATATTCTACACTTTACTCATTTTTGGCCCGATTTTAATACTAGATCTGGATTTTGGTTGGAATCTAACTTGATTGATCAAACTCTTGTAATGTTTGGGCCCAAATTTATTGGGCTTCTAATTTTCCCTCTGCCATATTAGGTGAGGGCTCGTTTATCACACTACAACAACATTGTCTAGCTAAAAAAAAAAACGAAAGTCCAACACTATTGTCTACTCATCCAACATAAAACTAAGACTTTTGTTAATTAAAAATATTTTGTTTTTAGTCTTTTTTTTTTCCTAAATACCCTTCAATTTTTCTCTCCCAACAAATACTCACTGAAAATATAATTTTACTCTTTTAGAAAATATCTTATAAAATATACTTATAAAAAGTACCTTTTAAAAGTGTAAAAATACACTTTTGGAAATATTTTTTTAAAAAAGTAAAATTATACTTACAAAAAGTATTTTTTGAAACAATATATTTACTTTTTTGAACGGTACTTTTTTAAAATATGTTTTTACTCTTTAAAAAAGTTATTTTAAGAAACACAAACACAATTTTAGAAAGGATAAAACTTATATGCAGTTTCTTAGGTACAATTGTTATTGTTCTACAACTAGAGTTAAAGTTTTATCTTGGTATTATGCACTTGAATTTAATACATATCTCTTTAATATATATTTACATATGCTATTGAGGTAAAACTCTCATTTCAATTGAAGAACAACACCAACCACACCTAAGAAAGTAAAGAGCCGTACTTGGGTTTTATACTTTTAGAAATTACATTCCAATAACAATATAAATATTATTTCCAATAGAATGTTTACTGTAAATCCTTTAACACCTCTCAAATTTAACAGCTCAACAATTCCATTTCACAATATTTCACATGGTAACACTTTACACAACTTTTTGTTAGTTAGTATTTTTTGAATAATTTACTAGAAGGTCACCCATCTCCAAACTACTCAAATTCAAGCACACTTAACTGTGAAATTATTAGATGATGAGCTTTTGAAAAGAATATGTACCTTGTAGAAAATGTGTATTATTAATTATTTCTTCAAGTCTACAGTTTCACACTTGTACAAATCTTTAAATCTCTTTCATTCTGATGTGTTCAAATTGTTATACTGAAAAATATAAATGTTTTTTTAAAAGAATAAAAATATACTTACAAAAAGTGCTTTTTGTAACGTTATATTTATTCCTTTATAAAATAATAAAGTATGTCTCTACTCTTCAAGAAATATATTTTAAGAATCATAAAATACAATTTTATAAATTATGTTATAATAATTAAAAATATTATTTATAATCAATTGTTTATTAAAAAAAAATCAACCAGACATGCCTTTCTTAACATCACCTTAAAAAAAAATCTACAACCTTGCATTTAATGTATGGAATATTAAAATGAGGTGAAAAATTAAGGATTAAAAAAATGATAAAGTTAACTATACAAAAAAAAAAGAATTTAAAGAATAATAAAAACTATTGATGAGTGTCATCACTGTTAAAGAGAAAAAATCAACAAAAAGAAAATTAAAACAAAAAATAAACGAAAGGTGGATAGAAAGAGATAATAAACTAACAAGAAAAAGAGTAAAGGAAGAGAGGTGAATAAAGATGATTTTGGGAAATAAAATTATTTCAAAAGAAAATAAATTAAAAAAATATTTATTCTTTTAAAAACAAAATATAGAAGGGAGGTTTATTTACTAATAAAGGAAGTATATATATATATATA